TGAACATTACCTGTCTTGTTCTCATGTTGTTGCTAAGGATTGTCTCATTGCACTGAAGTCACACTGGGTTAAATATTCACACTTGGGTTTTAAGGGGTATTTGTTTTTGTTTTTTTACGGGTTGTACGGAAGCCCCAAATGCAATTTCATTGTTCTTTGACAATGACAATAAATAAATACTTGACTTGACTTGAAACCTTTTAAATACAAGTGAGCTCATGCTCACAGGTGTACAAACGGGTGCTCACAGACACAAACTACACCCTTTTTGGCTCCTACCTCAAAGCACACTGTGTGCTGTCGATCTTACGTGCTGCACGATAATATTTAATATTTAGTATTTACTGTTATATTCACATAGATTATTGCCATGATGTTGTTTATTATATTGCTTTTTTTGCTTGTTTTCTCTTTTTTCTTTCTCAACAGGTGTTCCAGGTGATTGATATATGTATTTTTTGTCTGTTTGTTTTGTTGGTTTTTGTTTTTTTCCCCTTTTATCACCGTTCCTCTTCCCTGCTGTTTCTCTTTCCCTCTTTCTTTCTTCCTTTTCTGGGGGAAATCCAGTCATGTCTGTCCCGTGTGTAGTAAGTGAAAATAAAATAAAATAAACAATAAAAGCAAAGGTGAACTAAATAGACCAATATGGCAAGGTCGGGGTGGTCCATTTGGTAAAGTAAATCCGTTGGGCATCTTTCTTTGCCTTTAGACAATAATTCTGAATGCAAAAGAACCAAACGGGACATGCGGGGGAAAAAAAAAAGATAGAACAGCATGCAGCATCACGACATATGAGCGGGTGGAGTGAGGTATGGGGTCTTCAGGGCAGGGGGGGCTGGGATGAGTTGGCAGTCTGGTTGGGGTCTGTGACGCTGGGCTTCCCTGTGACTGCTGGGGGTCGTCTGCTTGCCCCCACCACAGGGAAAAAGGTAACATCTCTCAGGTCTGGGGGTCGATTGCCCCCCTGGGGGTGGTGATACCTGGACTTGGGAGTATAGAGTATGTCTGTGGAGTGTGAATGGGTGTATAGTGTTCATTTCTGTTTGTCTCTTCGTTGGGCAAGTGCTGAGTATTTGTTTTTTTGTGAATGAGGGTGGGAACATATGGTTGTGTCTGTGTGTGCCAGTTTGTCTATGTGTCAGGTCAAGTCCCCACCTCTGCCTCTTTGGGAACATCTTACCTCTCCGGTGGTCCTGCTTGGGTTTTTGGCACTCTGAGGAGCCTATGGAAGTACGGGCTCGGGTCTCCTCTGCCCCTGCTTCATGCTATGGGGGGGAGGGCTATGGCTCACCACACCCTCTAGCAGATCGTTACATGGAGAAGCCTTTTGAACTCAAGCGCGCTCATGCACACAGGTGTGCACATGGGTGCTCACATACACAAAAAAATTGTGTTATGCTGATTTATTTGTAAGCCATCTATGCCTGACCAATATAATATAATATAATATAATATAATATAATATAATATTACAGTCCTGCTCTATTTCACAGCTGGGCTGCTATCCCTGATGTAATCTATGGGCATGCCAGGTCTGCGCTGCTAGTTAAATCAAAAAATGAATACATTTAAAAACCTTGTACTGATAGT